TAGGTTCTTGGTCGGGCTCAGGGTGGGTTCTCGGTAGGGCTCGGGGCGGGCTCCAGGTACTCAACTGACGGGTTCCAGTTCACTCAACTGGCGGGCTCCGGTTCACTCAACTGGCGGGCTCCGGTTTACTAAACTGGCGGGCTCCGGGTGTTTGACTGGTCGGGCTCCGGGTGGGTGACTGTTCGGGCTCCAGGTGGGTGTCTGTCCAGCTTCGGGTGGGTTCTTGGTAGGGCTTGGGGTGGGTTCTTGGTAGGTATTAGGGCTGGGTTCTTGGTAGGGCTTGGGGGTGGGTTCTTGGTAGGGCTTGGGGGTGGGTTCTTGGTAGGGTTTGGGGTTGGCTCCCGGTCAGGCTCGGGGTGGGCTCTTTCGGGATCGGGATAGGCTCTCGGGCTTGGGGAACCTCTGTAGGGCTCGGGGTAGGTTCTTGGTCGGGCTCAGGGTGGGTTCTCGGTAGGGCTCGGGGCAGGCTCCAGGTACTCAACTGACGGGTTCCAGTTCACTCAACTGGCGGGCTCCGGTTCACTCAACTGGCGGGCTCCGGTTTACTAAACTGGCGGGCTCCGGGTGTTTGACTGGTCGGGCTCCGGGTGGGTGACTGTTCGGGCTCCAGGTGGGTGTCTGTCCGGCTTCGGGTGGGTTCTTGGTAGGGCTTGGGGTGGGTTCTTGGTAGGTATTGGGGCTGGGTTCTCGGTAGGGCTTTGGGCTGGGTTCTCGGTAGGGCTTGGGGCTGGGTTCTCGGTAGGGCTTGGGGGCTGGGTTCTCGGTAGGGCTTGGGGGGTGGGTTCTCGGTAGGGCTTGGGGGGTGGGTTCTCGGTAGGGCTTGGGGGGGTGGGTTCTCGGTAGGGCTTGGGGGGGTGGGTTCTCGGTAGGGCTTGGGGGTGGGTTCTCGGTAGGGCTTGGGGGGGTGGGTTCTCGGTAGGGCTTGGGGGGGTGGGTTCTCGGTAGGGCTTGGGGGGGGGGGTTCTCGGTAGGGCTTGGGGGGTGGGTTCTCGGTAGGGGTCGGGGTGGGCTCTTTCGGGATCGGGATAGGCTCTCGGGCTTGGGGAACCTCTGTAGGGCTCGGGGTAGGTTCTTGGTCGGGCTCAAGGTGGGTTCTCGGTAGGGCTCGGGGCGGGCTCCAGGTACTCAACTGACGGGTTCCAGTTCACTCAACTGGCGGGCTCCGGTTCACTCAACTGGCGGGCTCCGGTTTACTAAACTGGCGGGCTCCGGGTGTTTGACTGGTCGGGCTCCGGGTGGGTGACTGTTCGGGCTCCAGGTGGGTGTCTGTCCAGCTTCGGGTGGGTTCTTGGTAGGGCTTGGGGTGGGTTCTTGGTAGGTATTAGGGCTGGGTTCTTGGTAGGGCTTGGGGGTGGGTTTTGGTAGGGCTTGGGGGGTGGGTTCTCGGTAGGGCTTGGGGGGTGGGTTCTCGGTAGGGCTTGGGGGTGGGTTCTCGGTAGGGCTCGGGGTGGGCTCTTTCGGGATCGGGATAGGCTCTCGGGCTTGGGGAACCTCTGTAGGGCTCGGGGTAGGTTCTTGGTCGGGCTCAGGGTGGGTTCTCGGTAGGGCTCGGGGCGGGCTCCAGGTACTCAACTGACGGGTTCCAGTTCACTCAACTGGCGGGCTCCGGTTCACTCAACTGGCGGGCTCCGGTTTACTAAACTGGCGGGCTCCGGGTGTTTGACTGGTCGGGCTCCGGGTGGGTGACTGTTCGGGCTCCAGGTGGGTGTCTGTCCAGCTTCGGGTGGGTTCTTGGTAGGGCTTGGGGTGGGTTCTTGGTAGGTATTAGGGCTGGGTTCTTGGTAGGGCTTGGGGGTGGGTTCTTGGTAGGGCTTGGGGTGGGTTCTTGGTAGGGTTTGGGGTTGGCTCCCGGTCAAGCTCGGGGTGGGCTCTTTCGGGATCGGGATAGGCTCTCGGGCTTGGGGAAACTCTGTAGGGCTCGGGGTAGGTTCTTGGTCGGGCTCAGGGTGGGTTCTCGGTAGGGTTCGGGGCAGGCTCCAGGTACTCAACTGACGGGTTCCAGTTCACTCAACTGGCGGGCTCCGGTTCACTCAACTGGCGGGCTCCGGTTTACTAAACTGGCGGGCTCCGGGTGTTTGACTGGTCGGGCTCCGGGTGGGTGACTGTTCGGGCTCCAGGTGGGTGTCTGTCCGGCTTCGGGTGGGTTCTTGGTAGGTATTGGGGCTGGGTTCTTGGTAGGGCTTTGGGCTGGGTTCTCGGTAGGGCTTGGGGCTGGGTTCTCGGTAGAGCTTTGGGCTGGGTTCTCGGTAGGGCTTGGGGCTGGGTTTCTCAGTAAGGGCTTGGGGCTGGGTTCTCGGTAGGGCTTGGGGGGTGGGTTCTCGGTAGGGCTTGGGGGGTGGGTTCTCGGTAGGGCTTGGGGGGGTGGGTTCTCGGTAGGGCTTGGGGGGGTGGGTTCTCGGTAGGGCTTGGGGGGGTGGGTTCTCGGTAGGGCTTGGGGGGTGGGTTCTCGGTAGGGCTTGGGGGGGTGGGTTCTCGGTAGGGCTTGGGGGGTGGGTTCTCGGTAGGGGCTCGGGGTGGGCTCTTTCGGGATCGGGATAGGCTCTCGGGCTGGGGAACCTCTGTAGGGCTCAGGGTAGGTTCTTGGTCGGGCTCAGGGTGGGTTCTCGGTAGGGCTCAGGGCGGGCTCCAGGTACTCAACTGACGGGTTCCAGTTCACTCAACTGGCGGGCTCCGGTTCACTCAACTGGCGGGCTCCGGTTTACTAAACTGGCGGGCTCCGGGTGTTTGACTGGTCGGGCTCCGGGTGGGTGACTGTTCGGGCTCCAGGTGGGTGTCTGTCCAGCTTCGGGTGGGTTATTGGTAGGGCTTGGGGTGGGTTCTTGGTAGGTATTAGGGCTGGGTTCTTGGTAGGGCTTGGGGGTGGGTTCTTGGTAGGGCTTGGGGTGGGTTCTTGGTAGGGCTTGGGGGTGGGTTCTTGGTAGGGTTTGGGGTTGGCTCCCGGTCAGGCTCGGGGTGGGCTCTTTCGGGATCGGGATAGGCTCTCGGGCTTGGGGAACCTCTGTAGGGCTCGGGGTAGGTTCTTGGTCGGGCTCAGGGTGGGTTCTCGGTAGGGCTCGGGGGGGTTCTTGGTAGGCTCCAGGTACTCAGGGATCTGATGGGTTCCAGTTCACTCAACTGGCGGGCTCCGGTTCACTCAACTGGCGGGCTCCGGTTTACTAAACTGGCGGGCTCCGGGTGTTTGACTGGTCGGGCTCCGGGTGGGTGACTGGTCGGGCTCCAGGTGGGTGTCTGTCCGGCTTCGGGTGGGTTCTTGGTAGGGCTTGGGGTGGGTTCTTGGTAGGTATTGGGGCTGGGTTCTCGGTAGGGCTTGGGGGCTGGGTTCTCGGTAGGGCTTGGGGGCTGGGTTCTCGGTAGGGCTTGGGGGGTGGGTTCTCGGTAGGGCTAGGGGGGTGGGTTCTCGGTAGGGCTTGGGGGGTGGGTTCTCGGTAGGGCTTGGGGGGTGGGTTCTCGGTAGGGCTTGGGGGGTGGGTTCTCGGTAGGGCTTGGGGGGTGGGGGTTTTCTCGGTAGGGCTTGGGGGGTGGGTTCTCGGTAGGGCTTGGGGGGTGGGTTCTCGGTAGGGCTTGGGGGGTGGGTTCTCGGTAGGGCTTGGGGGGGTGGGTTCTCGGTAGGGCTTGGGGGTGGGGTCTCGGTAGGGCTTGGGGGGGTGGGTTCTCGGTAGGGCTTGGGGGGGTGGGTGTTGGTAGGGCTTAGGGTTGACTCTCGGTCAGGCTCGGGGTGGGCTCTTTCGGGTTTGAGATGGGCTCTCGGGCTTGGGGAACCTTTGTAGGGCTCGGGGTAGGTTCTTGGTCGGGCTCAGGGTGGGTTCTCTGTGAACGCACTTCTCGGCCTACTATGCAAGGCCCGATTTGCCTAATAAGCCAAGTTTTCCTGAATTAATATATTTTCTCTAATTTTTTTCTTATGAAATGATAAAGCTACCCATTTCATTATGTATGAGGTCAATTTTTTTTTATTGGAGTTAAAATTATCGTAGATATATGACCGAACCTAACCAACCCTACCTAACCTAACCTAACCTATCTTTATTGGTTAGGTTAGGTTAGGTAGCCGAAAAAGTTAGGTTAGGTTAGGTAGGATAGGTAGTCGAAATGCAATTAATTCATGAAAACTTGGCTTAATAGGCAAATTGGGCCTTGCATAGTAGACTGAGAAGTGCGTTCTGGCTACTAGGTACGACACATATATATATATATATATATGTATATATATATATATATATGTATATGTATATGTATATATATATATGTATGTACATGTACATGTATGAGTGTGTACATGTGTATACAACATTAATAATTTTGTAACTAGCGTCAAACATTGTTATTTGCTAAGCTAAACGAACTAGAGAGTTCAGTTCCTGAACCTTATGTGCCTCTGTAATCCTTTACACCACCGCCCACGGGATGGGTATGGGGTGCATAATAAAGAAAGCAATAGAAGAAATTGAAATTGCATAATACGATTATTGACATTCAATAATAGTAAGATAAAGCAATGAGGACCAAATGGGAGACCAGTGATCAGATGAATATTACAGACTCAAGGGTAGCCTTCTCTTCTTGCATATAAATGAAAAAATAAATTCGTTTGTTTAATTCTAATGCTTGTAGGCACAGTTGTGAACGCCAGCTAGCGCACAAGTACATGAGCGCCTAAAATACTTTTACACAAAAGACATGTACAGACAGGCGTGTGGCTTCTGACTTCTTATTTATTGATTAATATTAAATATTAGGCGCTTACTTATAATAATTATCATTTTATACATGTATAACTATCACATAATAAATTTAAAAGGAGTTTACCCAAAAACTGACAGAAGTGTTGTGTTTTGTGCGTTGTATCGTGTTTGTGGGCATTCGGGTGTGTTGTGTTTACGCTGGCGGGCGGCGTCCTTACCAACTCCGGATTATGTCTATTACATCACTAAACTTCATTTAATAACTATATGCCTGTTAAGTATAAGATTTTAATTGTTAATAGCATTATATTGTCGTTTTAATATGAAACACGTACACATATGCGAAACGTCCAAAGCTGGTGTCCGAAGTGGTAAAAATATTAGTGTGCGATGTTGTCAATGTACGGAGTGTCTTGTACAGTATCCGACGGAAAACGCTTTTAGCTAAGAGGAAAAACCTTCGTAAGTACCTTCCTGAATCCGGCCCCAGTTGTCCCAGAAAGTGGTACGACTGTACGAGTTGAACATAATCAGTTGTCCCAGAAAGTGGTACGACTGAACGAGTTGAACATAACCAGTTGTCCCAGAAAGTGGTACGAGTTGTCCGGAGCGAGCGAGCGAGCTAGCGAACGGACTCGATTCGTAATTTGTGAGCGCGGGTGTAAGTGGTCAACAGCAGCCATGGGCGAGGAGTACGAGAGGAAGAGGATATCCACCAATCCTTTCCTGTACACGGACGGCAGCCTGGTGGAGGAAGACGTGTTGCAGGCTGGCCTGGAGGGTAATGGTGGGTCCACTGAGGGATCCATAGCCTCCACCATCACAGGCGACACAGACCAGACGCCCCTGGCGGAGATTCCTCAGAGACAGATGTGGGCCGTGAGCCGCGGCGCCGTCACCATGTCCATTGATGTCGACGATGAGAAGGTCTGTAACTGAAACATGAAGGGATCTATTGGTGTAAGAATGTAATCCTTGTAGATGGGTTAGGCTGTGCCCACTCTAGAGCTAATTTGTTATCAAAATTACTTTGTAGGGGTCCGTCTAATTACCGCAAGCTCCCACAAGCTTCACAAAGCTTCCTGGCAACACGTTATTAATGAATAAATATGATAGGTTAGGATGACCTAACCAAACCTAACCTAACCTAACCGACGCTTGGATCGTCGACATGATTTGGCATTACCAGCTCTTTATTTTCGTCTAATTTCTTTATAAAAAGATACATTTTCAGATTAAAATTAATTTTTTTCGTGTTGTACATTCAGCATCAACATTATAATGAGTAAATATATCATATTTATTCATTACTATCGTATTGCCAGGAAGCTTTGTGAAGCTTGTGTAGCTTGTGGTAGCTTGCAGTAATTAGACGGACCGCTTTGTTATTACCTAAGTGTAGTTACAGGGATGAGAGCTACGCTCGTGGTGTCCAGTCTTCCCAGCACTCTTTGTCGTATAACGCTTTGAAACTACTGACGGTCTTGGCCTCCACCACCTTCTCACCTAACTTGTTCCAACCCTGGTTCCAACCAACTTGTACCACTCTGTTTACGAAAGTGAATTTTCTTATATTTCTTCGGCATCTGTGTTTAGCTGCTGTTTACGAAAGTGAATTTTCTTATATTTCTTCGGCATCTGTGTTTAGCTGGTTTAAATCTATGACCTCTTGTTCTTAAAGTTCCAGGTCTCAGGAGATCTTCCCTATCGATTTTATCAATTCCTGTTACTATTTTGTATGTAGTGATCATATCACCTCTTTTTCTTCTGTCTTCTAGTTTTGGCATATTTAATACCTCTAACCTCTCCTAGTAGCTCTTACCCTTCAGTTCTGGGAGCCACTTAGTAGCATGTCTTTGCACCTTTTCCAGTTTGTTGATGTCCTTCTTAAGATATGGGCACCACACAACCGCTGCATATTCTAGCTTTGGCCTAACAAAAGTCGTGAACAATTTTTTTAGCATATCGCCATCCATGTACAGTATTTAAAAGCAATTCTGAAGTTAGAAAGCGTGACATAGGCTCCTTGCACAATATTCTTTATGTGGTCCTCAGGTGATAGTTTTCTATCTAGAACCACCCCTAGATCTCTTTCTTTATCAGAAGTCTTTAAAGATTTCTCACATAATATATAGGTTGTGTGGGGTCTATGTTCTCCTATTCCACATTCCATAACATGGCATTTATTAACATTAAATTCCATTTGCCAAGTGGTGCTCCATATACTTATTCTGTCCACGTCATCTTGAAGGGCATGACAATCATCTAAGTTTCTTATCCTTCGTATTATCTTAGCATCATCAGCAAACATGTTCATATAATTCTGTATACCAACTGGTAGATCATTTATGTAGACAGTAAACATCACTGGTGCAAGAACTGAACCCTGTGGTACTCCACTTGTGACATTTCTCCAGTCCGATACATTGCCTCTGATCACAGCCCTCATTTTTCTATCAGTCAGAAAATTTTTCATCCATGTTAGAAGCTTACCTGTCACCCCTCCAATATGTTCCAGTTTTCAGAACAACCTCTTATGTGGAACTCTGTCGAAAGCCTTATTTAGGTCCAGATAGATTCAGTCAACCCAATCATCTCTTTCTTGTAATACAGTATCTCTGTTGCTCGATCATATCGATCATAGAAACCGAGTAAATTCGATACACAGGATCTTCCAGATCGAAAACCATACTGTCTGTCTGATATTATATCATTTCTCTCCAGGTGTTCTACCCATTTATTTTTAATTATTTTTTCCAATATTTTGACTATTAAACTTGTCAATAATACAGGTCTATAATTAAGGGGGGGTCTTCCCTGCTTCCACTTTTGTAGATTGGAACTATGTAGTAGTGTGTGTGTGTTTGTGTCTGAAGATATTGCACTCTCGAAGACAGTGCAGCGCTTTATATATAAAAAGCGCTGCACTGTCTTCGAGAGTGCAATATCTTCACACACACACACACACACACACACACACACACACACATACACTACTACATAGTTCCAATCTACAAAAGTGGAAGCAGGGAAGACCTCCCTTAATTATAGACCTGTATCATTGACAAGTTTAATAGTCAAAATATTGGAAAAAATAATTAAAACTAAATGGGTAGAACACCTGGAGAGAAATGATATAATATCAGACAGACAGTATGGTTTTCGATCTGGAAGATCCTGTGTATCGAATTTACTCAGTTTCTATGATCGAGCAACAGAGATACTGTATTACAAGAAAGAGATGGTTGGGTTGACTGCATCTATCTGGACCTAAAAAAGGCTTTTGACAGAGTTCCTCATAAGAGGTTGTTCTGGAAACTGGAACATATTGGAGGGGTGACAGGTAATCTTCTAACATGGATGAAAAATTTTCTGACTGATAGAAAAATGAGGGCAGTGATCAGAGGCAATGTATCGGACTGGAGAAATGTCACAAGTGGAGTACCACAGGGTTCAGTTCTTGCACCAGTGATGTTTGTCTACATAAATGATCTACCAGTTGGTATACAGAATTATATGAACATGTTTGCTGATGATGCTAAGATAATAGGAAGGATAAGAAATTTAGATGATTGTCATGCCCTTCAAGATGATCTGGACAAAATAAGTATATGGAGCACCACTTGGCAAATGGAATTTAATGTTAATAAATGTCATGTTATGGAATGTGGAATAGAACATAGACCCCACACAACCTATATATTATGTGAGAAATCTTTAAAGAATTCTGATAAAGAAAGAGAGCTATATCTTGAAGTTTTCTTGAAATGATTTCGGGGCTTTAGTGTCCCCGCGGCCCGGTCCTCGACCAGGCCTCCACCCCCAGGAAGCAGCCCGTGACAGCTGACTAACACCCAGGTACCTATTTTACTGCTAGGTAACAGGGGCATAGGATGAAAGAAACTCTGCCCATTGTTTCTCGCCGGCGCCTGGGATCGAACCCAGGACCACAGGATCACAAGTCCCGCGTGCTGTCCGCTCGGCCGACCGGTTCCCCGGTTCGACGAGCTAGGGGTGGTTCTAGATAGTTTTCTATCACCTGAGGACCACATAAAGAATATTGTGCGAGGAGCGTATGCCATGCTATCTAACTTCAGAATTGCTTTTAAATACATGGATGGTGATATACTAAAGAAATTGTTCACGACTTTTGTTAGGCCAAAGCTAGAATATGCAGCGGTTGTGTGGTGCCCATATCTTAAGAAGCACATCAACAAACTGGAAAAGGTGCAAAGACATGCTACTAAGTGGCTCCCAGAACTGAAGGGTAAGAGCTACTAGGAGAGGTTAGAGGCATTAAATATGCCAAAACTAGAAGACAGAAGAAAGAGGTGATATGATCACTACATACAAAATAGTAACAGAAATTGATAAAATCGATAGGGAAGATCTCCTGAGACCTGGAACTTTAAGAACAAGAGGTCATAGATTTAAACCAGCTAAACACAGATGCCGAAGAAATATAAGAAAATTCACTTTCGCAAACAGAGTGGTAGACGGTTGGAACAAGTTAGGTGAGAAGGTGGTGGAGGCCAAGACTGTTTAAATTTTTGTCAATCTTTCTTCACATGACAGGTTTCTTATTTGCGGGATTAACTTTGTCATCCTATGCTGGATGCATTCTAGCGAATTTATATCCATTCTATAGTATGGAGACTAAAACTGAACTACATCATCTATATGGCACCTAACAAGAGCAAGATATAGTCACTAAATCATGAATTTAAATCCTGGTCACTAAATCAAGAATATGAATAATTTTTCACAAGTTTATTTTCTATAGGAACACGAGGTCCCGTTTCATGATGAATATATGCATGACACCGCGGCTGTGTGCTGTGGATTTCTGCATCACACAGTGAATGAACATCATAACAGCATTGGGTTCACTGATATCTGAACCATGTACGAAGTATTTATCAGTCAGGATCTTGCATGACGGTATCTTTGCAAAATAATTATTTTTATTTCATCATTATTAAGCAATGCTTTGGGCAAAAGCTGCATGACAGTACTGTGAGCTGCTGTAACAGGTGCTACCCATGATTGCTTTTTCAGTACTGTGGCCTTCCCACCTAGGAGGGGTATCCACAAGTTTACTGGAGGCTGAGTAAATGTGAGACTTATGTATGTGCAGACACTTTCAAATCTAATGCAGTACAGTATTTTAAATCATCTCTCATTGACTCGGACAGTGGTATCAGAAATGGTGCCGGAATCCATGATTGACTTGTGCATTTGAGAGGTTAATAGACTGATAATCTATTAATCTGAGAGGTTAATATACTGATAATCTATTAATCTGAGAGGTTAATAGACTAGTAAGACTGACCTTGACCAGCATATGTCTGTCCTGTACTCTAGACCATTTCCCCTGCCAAGTGTCTGGCATCCATTGTTGGGCACAGACATTCCTTTATATGAAGACACACAGGCTGCCTGTCCCAAACAAAAAATAATTATTGTATCAACCAGTGCTCAATACACCATCTTGTATATATTACATCAGCCTGAATCCATTATACTCCTTCAGTTCATTATACTTTCTTTAATTCATCACACACACTGTACACATTGCACCACCCTCCTTGTGTCCTGAGAAGTGATCACCTTCCTGTAATAAAAAACCAAAACATATCTAGATAATCTCCATTTTCTAATGAAGAATGTGTTATAGAACAGAACATTTGGTAAGTATTATTATCAATTGGTTGGTTATCACATGTGTAACAATTACCTTTAGGTTCATGATGTGCTGCAATTGGTGACACAGAGATATCAGTGAAAGAGAGGAGGGCAAAGTCATGGTTAACACCCAAAAGAAGTCGAGTGGGTTGATCATAAGTTTAGTTCCTTGTTATGTACAACTACATTATAAATTTAATTTTTAAAGTTACAGACAATGACTGGCTCCTACTCTGAAATTTTGGAGCGGCCATTGCTGGGACAGCGTATTGCTGAAGAAGATGAGCAGGGAGATGAGCAAGATGATGTGGCTAGAGATGAGGTAAGATGTACTTTTATGTAAAACATTATATGCCATGCAGCTTATGAGAGGTGCTCTAAGTTTAATAAATATACTCAGTATAGCAAGATAGGAGGTTACTGTATATGAGATAATATTGTAGATAATATTATATGTAATTAGATTATCTTGTACAGTACAGTATAGGAAAGCTTAGAGCTGTTACTGTATTTTAAGATAGGTTTGAACTTGAATACACATGTGAGATATCCTGTGATATTTGTGAACCTGACTTTTGACAGTGAATTGTATCTTAGGGGTCAACTAAATGCTTCTGCTCAGAAAGGTGCTGTACAGTTTAAGATTTGACCACGGACTTAAGTTGTCTAGACTCTTCTAGATAGCCTTGACAGGTTGGGCAATAAACCAACCTTGCCTCCTGTTTAGGTAGTAGTCTTTGTAACTATGTGCACCATAGTACAAAGATTGATTTACAGTGGTACCTCAGCTTACGAATGTAATCCGTTCCCAGGGACAGTTCATAACCCAAAAATTTGTAAACTGAAGCGAATTTTCCCATAAGAAATAATGTAAATTGAATTCATCCATTCCACACTCCCAAAAATATTAACTTCAAAGTAAATTTTATACCTAATTCACCCAAATCTTTAGTACTGAAGTATGTACAAGTTACTGCTTACCTTTACTGATGACTCTTGTTGGCGTATGGAAGACGGTGAGGAGGGAGGAGGAGAGGTACTCACCTAGTTGTGCTTGCGGGGGTTGAGCTTTGTCTCTTTGGTCCCGCCTCTCAGCTGTCAATCAACTGGTAAACGGATTCCTGAGCCTACTGGGCTCTGTCATACCTATATTTAAAACTGTGTATGGAGTCAGCCTCCACCACATCACATCCTAATGCATTCCATTTGTTAACTACTCTGACACTGAAAAAATTCTTTCTAACATCTCTGTGACTCGTCTGGGTACTAAGTTTCCACCTGTGTCCCCTTGTTCGTGTTCCACCCCGTGCTGAATAGTTTGTCTTTGTCCACCTTGTCAATTCCCCCTGAGAATTTTGTATGTGGTTATCATGTCTCCCCTTACTCTTCTGTTTTCCAGGGACGTGAGGGTTCAGCTCCTTTAGCCTTTCCTCGTAGTTCATACCTCTCAGTTCCGGGACTAGTCTGGTGGCATACCGCTGAATCTTCTCTAACTTTGTCTTGTGTTAAACTAGGTATGGACTCCAGGCTGGAGCTTTATAGTCCAGGATTGGTCTGACATAAGTGGTATGCAGGGTCCTGAACGATTCCTTACATAAGTTTCTAAAGCAGGTCTTATGTTGGCCGACCTAGCATATGCCGCTGATGATATCCTTTTGATGTGGGCCTCTGGGGGACAAGTTTGGTGTGATATCAACCCCCAGATCTTTCTCTCTATTTGTCTCTTGCAGGATTTCACCTCCCAGATGGTACCTTGTGTTCAGCCTTCTGCTCCCTTCACCTAATTTTATTACTTTACACTTTTCTGAATTTTAGCAGCCATTTTCTAGGCCATTCCTCCAGTTTGTCCAGATTATCCTGTAGTCTCTGTCTATCTTTATCTGTCTTGATTCTTCTCATAATTTTTGCATCATCTGCAAACATTGAGAGGAATGAGTCTATACCTTCCGGAAGATCGTTTACATATATTAGAAACAGGATGGGTCCAAGTACTGAGCCTTTTGGGACTCTGCTGGTGACATCTCGCCACTCTGATGTTTCCCCCCTCGCAGTTATTCGCTGTTTCCTGTTGCTTAAATACTCCCTTATCCACTGTAGCACCTTCCCTTTTACTCCTGCCTATTGCTTCAACTTTTTTAACAGCCTTTTATGAGGTACTGTGTCAAAGGCTTTCTGACAGTCCAAGAAAATGCAGTCTGCCCACCCTTCTCTTTCTTGCCTAATTTTTGTTGCCTGGTTATAGAATTCTATACCTATGAGGCACAATTTACCATCTCTCTGAACCCATGCTGGTGGTGTGTTAGAAAGCTATTTCTCTCCAGATGCTCTACGAGCTTTTTCCTTACAATCTTCTCCATCACCTTGCAAGGTATACAAGTTAGGGAAACTGGCCTGTAGTTCAGTGCCTTTTGCCTGTCACCCTTTTTGTATATTGGGACCACATTAGCTGTCTTCCAACTTTCCGGTAGACCTCCTGTTTCCAGTGACCTGTTATACACCATAGAGAGTGGCACACTTAGTGCTTCTGCACCTTCCTTTAATATCCATGGTGAGATTCTGTCAGGCCCAACAGCCTTTGTCACATTCAGCTCCAACAGATTCTTTTTTACCTCATCACTGGTGATGTTAAATTCCTCCAAGGTTGCTTGGTTTGCCTCCTCCTTATTTAGTGCAGGGGCTACTCTGTTCTTTTGTGAAGACCACCTGGAATCTCTTGTCGAGTTCTTCACACACCTTGTCATTCTCTGTGTATCTGTTCTACTCTTTTCAGTGGGGAGAAGTTTTGGTTGGGTCTTGGCTTTACTCGGTCATTTTTATACAGTCTTCTCTGCTTCCCTACCTGCACATTCTGTGCAGGTACAAAATAATCCCTGAACTTCCCTCTCATGTCACTGAACACCTTTCGTACCTTCCACAGTCTGTCGTGTCTGTCCTCATTTGCATTATTCTCGAAATGCAGGCACCTGAGAATCAAGAGGAACCTATCACACGACATATATCGGTTGAACACGGGCGATGGAACAAGGCTGTCTTTGCTCCAATAATTCTGGACGACAGCTTTCTCGGAGTGCTTCATCGTCATGCTGAGAGTGAGAAACACGTACATTTAGTCAATTATCGTGTCCTTCCATCGCATAAGGCGTGAGGCAGGTAAAATGCCGGCGTCTATGAGGCTGTGAGCGTACCTATTTGTTTCCGTCACAGGATAGGTCGTGAATTCATTGTTGAAATATGCCTGGAAATATTACACTTCTGCCATTTCATCACCCGTATACAGGAATAATGGTGTAACACCAACATCGGTACCCTCAAACGTTGGTATATGTGGAACAAATGTGGCACAATCCTCCCACACAAGCGCACCCGGGGGTTTGGTGGTGGTGCCAACACCACGACCAACACCACCACGAGCACCACCAAAAACACAGCTATGTCGTCTGGGGCTGGAGTTGCATGAGGGTATGGTAGGCGATGAGGCAGATCTACGTAACGAAGGCCTACCACGAACTCCTGACGTAGGGGGGGCCACTGTCATTATTGACCTGTTGCTGCGAGACATGCCTGCCTGCCACGACGTGTTGCTGAGGTAGCAAAACCCTGCCTGGTAACACCCTCGCTGCTCGTACTCGGGTCGTCCACACTACTCGTATCAGAGCCTATGTCACTGAAACCCGAGAAAGATTCATTGTATGTACTGTCACTGAATAAACTTGCATCTGGAGACATACATTGTGGTGGTGGTGATAACTGTGTTGACCTAGGGCGGTGAGGCATGCCGGGCGACGCGCGTGTACCATACACGCTCGCCACATCATCCACCTCCGTCTCTCCCTCACTTGTATCAGACCTCTGTGTAAGGTCTTTCTCTGGATCATAGTCTAAGTCATCCATAGCACCGTCATCGTACAAAATGTCTCGTATCTCCTCAGAGTCGTTTTCCATGATTGCGGGTCACTGTGGAGCGAGAGCTCATAGACGATGCATCAGACATGGTTGCTGCCTTCAAACTGAGGCTCCCACGGCTGCGGGGCATGCTGGAATTTTTTTTCAAGTTGACGGACGATCACTGGGGCCCCCAGGCGTCCATTTCGTACCCGCATTGCCGCTCGCCAGTTATGAATGGAACGTGAAAAATAAAAATACCCAGAGGCGCGTTGCGCACCCCCCTGTCGAGGGCCTGCAGGTGTGTTGCACAGTTGCCGGGGTTAAGCTAAAAATCTATACTTTATGGTGTTATTTAAAAAATGGAATGAAAGCAAAATAAAATAACAAAGGCAAGTTAAGTTAGCTGATGTGCACAAATTTCATATGACCTCAAATAAATATTTGTAATAAAAACTATTAGAGATAGAAAATTTATTTTTGTTGTTGTAATGTAGCTAAATAAATTTCCTTTCTAATGGTATATCATGTGATAACATTTAGATTAAAAAAGAGGAAGGAAAAGGTGATTGAAAAAGAACGAACGGAAAGTAGTTTTTCACTCGCCAAAACATTATCTTAGAAATTACAATACAGTTTTATAACATATTGTTATAACTAACATTATTAGCCAGACTCACGAACCTTCACCTTCCCCTGCGTTGCTCAAGCAGTCAGAAATGAGATGACACATTTTAACGTATTTTAAGTATTTAACTTATTAAAAAAAATAACGCAAAGTATTTTAACCATTAGACAGAGGCTATGGAGAAATGGTCACACTGTACACACCTATGCACATAAAATATAACAATTCAAAACAAAATTTTTCATTGTAGAATTATTAATTTGTATGCAGAATATAAGAAAAACATAAAAATAAGTGAATATATATCATTTCACTGGGTGGAGACGCTCTGTAAGTATGCGTCTGACACTTGTCACTGCCTTGTGCTCGACTTTTTGACACTTCCTGATTTATTCTGATGTTTCATTGTTTATCATTTGTGTTTCTTTATTTACATCTAGAGAGATAGCTTTTATAGCCATATTTGCATTATACATGTAAAACCCAGGCAATAATTGATTAAATCATCATATGATAATGACCACATTCCCCTACTAACATTCATGACACAATGGCACTATCTGGTTTATAAAATTTTCCGTGTTGCAAATTCTGTTCTGTCACTGTCAACTATTTTACCAGTTTAAATAGTTATCATATTCACTTCACATATGTCTTTTAATAAACTCTTATCGCTTTTTCTGAGCTAACACGCGCCCATTACAATACCAGTGTCAAACACCTGGCATTTTTCTCCTATGTGGCTTTACTGTGCCACAGACTCAAGTGATATGTTTAAGCAGGAACATAGTTAGCAAGAGGCTGATATAATAAATGTCAGTATACAGAATGTGCCCCTTGTTTAGCAATTGTTCCATGAGCATCTCGATCACACTGCCAGAAAACCCGTACGGATCTTTAATAGGTATGTCTGCTGGTACCATATTGGTACCGGGAGTGCTACTAGCCCTCCCACGGATCCCGCAGCCTCTCCAAGACACAAACCGGGGTTTTACACAATTTTACAGTGTATTGACGTAAGGGCGAAGAAGTAGAACAGCTTGTTGACAGAGCCCGGGTGCATGGGGAAATTGTGTAAACCCCAGGTTTCTCTCGAAGAGGCTGCGGGATTCGTGTTAGGGCAGTAGCACTCCTGGTTGCAATTCTTTTTTGACTATGTCGTGGCGCAATTGACTGAAGCACATCTGGGATCATCCCAAACGTAGGTTCAAACCCTCATCACGGCCCTTGTGGCTTTGTTCATTTGATGTATCACGCTATTGTGATTTGTGTGTATTAACTGAAACTTTTAAAAACAAGAAAAATATCAAAATATTGCCAAATTCAACTTTTTTCCCAAATCGCTGAAAAAAAACATTAAAAACATTAACATATTGCTAAATTAAAACAATTTTCACACCACCCATCGAGTGCCTTAATGTGCTATGGGCAGTGCAGTGGTTAAAGAGTAAAGTAACTTGTTAACTAAGTGTTAGTTTGTTGGACTAAGAACCTTTTGCAATACCCTTACACTGAATGGAAATTATATACAGTACTATGTACAGTATATACAAATTTAGCATGTTTCTTTTCAGATGGATGCCATTACTCCTGTGTGCTCTAACATGGACCCAGTTCAAGCTTTTCTTACTCAGGAGCGCCTAAGTGCTTTCATGGCTCATGATGACTCTCTTGGAGAAGCTCCAGAATACGGAACAGAAATATCACGTCATGACTGCCAGGTGAGGCCAGTTGCTGGGAATGCTTCACTACGGTTCATAATGGAGAACTGTTTAAGAATACTTTTTCTAGTTCACTAGAGGGGTCCCTCTTGTAGCTCTGAGCTACTCACCTGGATATCTATTGAACCTTTAGTACCTCACTAGGATCTATCGATTCATGAGTGCTCAACACGAACCATTAGCAGAATCTGATCCCCTCAATAGAGGCGAGTCTGGGAATTTATGATCACCACAGTAACCAAGAGAGAGACCACCAAAACAACTGAAACACATTTTAAATGCTCACCTTAACTGTAAACAGTCAATAACCCTTAGACAGTGACTATGGTGAAATGTTATAGGTTATATTGTAAAGGAACATAAAGTCGTTTCATGTTGTTTGAAAGCTGGAAGCAAAGGCTGGGTGCTGTCTCTCTCTACCTCATGCTGTGAATATCATAACTTACATTGTATTCACTGATATCTGAATGTTGTACCTAGTCTTTATCAGTCAGGATCACCTATAACACTGTCAATGCAATATAATTACAGTTACCTATATTATCATTCTTAAGTGGTGCTGTGGTCCCTAGCTGCATAACAGTGCTATGAGTTTCTGCTGCACAGCAGTGCTGAGTTCCTGCTGCACAGTGGTACTGCTGCCCCTAACTGCACAGCAGTGCTGTGAGCTCCTGCTGCACAGTGGTGCTGTGGCCCCTAGCTGCATAGCAGTGCTGTCAGCCTCTAGCTGCACAGCAGTGCTGTCAGCCCCTAGCTGCACAGCAGTGCTGTGAGCTCCTGCTGCATGCGCTAGCCTTGGTCGCTGTCTCAGTTCTGAGGCTCTCACAGCCAGTACGATTGCTATTTTTTTTCAAGATGGCGTATGTTTACTGGAGTCCTGAGGCACAGGATGAAAGACCCTTGTACCCACAGGAGTTTTGAATTGTTCCCTATACATAAAAGTGCCATATGGCACTCTGTGCACCCCCAATCGGGCGCCTTTAGGCAGTCTGCACAGTGCAGTGGTTAATCGGTGTGTGACCCCAGGCATGTTACCACAGTTACACCTCTTTCAGAAGATCAGCTCAGTGCCGATCTTCTGAAACATAATTCTTTCAATATTTTAAGTTTTGATTTCTAATGGTTGGCATTAATACCAAATTGTCACCTCTTATCATGCATTCGGTGTTGATACTTCCTTGGTACTGTTTCATAGGCTTTATCGTGCATTTTGTTCCATCTCTGGCCTGCTCATGCACCGCCCACTTGGTCCTTGGATCACATTCTCTTGTTTTTCTTCTTGATTTACGGTGTCCTCTTCAGTTTGGGATTCTTTTTCGAAGACTCTGTATTGGTGGCCCTGGCTTCCTGTTGTAGGGTCCAAGAGCTTCATCCTTCATCCAAAGAGGACATGTCATATATCAGTTAAATTTCCCAAAGATTAATAAGGTTTTGTGTTAGATATATTCTGAATGTAGGCCTATGTTCACCTGCAGTGCATCATTAAGAATTAAAATTCTTGTAAAAAGTCTTGTCATAAGCTGAAACTCATTTATTAATGGTGGTACTTCATCATCAACTGGTTGACATGGGTCATGTCAAATGAAAGAAATGTTTCCTAGTAATATGAATAAGAAAATAAAGATTTTATCACAAATTAAATGAACATCATTGAACACATTAAAAATTCTACTTATTGTAACGTAATTTATGGTCAGGAACGACCTTGGTCTCTTAAAGTGGGGAGATGCAGCCCGGATCAAGCAGAGTCAATGCTACAGGGTGCTGGAATGGTTACCCGACAGGGAGACATCATATCCTTCGTGGCCGATGATCTTCACAACAAAATAAAGCTCTCAAGCCCAGTGTCAAAGAGTGAGTATGGGAATATTTGCCCACACTAATTTTTCACTGTCCTTTGTTATTTTCTAATATTAGATCTTAAGATTGTCCAAATAAGAACCAATCCTCCAAACTTTAGTACCTATAGCTACTGTTAATGGAATGTACAAAATCTGAACTGTTGCACTTAAAAAAAACATGTTATGTACTATTGGAACCGTAAATGTCATAACAAAACCTGAAAGAGTCTAACCATAAACATATCCTCTCTTAGAACCATAATTTAGTACATGTTTGTACTATACTGTACTATGCCTAAGAAAAGTCTGCTATGATTGTTGCTTTCTTTCTCAGACCCTCCACAAAATTAATGGTACAAAATGTGAACTATTTTGGGTGCAACAGTCCAAATAAAGCAAATACCCAGCTATGAAATAAAATTTAAGCAAATTATTTAGCATGGCTTAAAATGTAGTAAAAGGTAAAATTCCAGCATTGCAACTGCTTGGAAAACATTTGTATCCCTGAATTAAAATTCTTACACACTTATTGTCTAAGTCCAGCTGTTAGTTAGCTTCACTTCCTTGCCTCTAGATGGCAGCGTCAACAACTCGAAGGTTAGGGGTGCAGTTACCCCTCTCATTTACACACCACCCAACCAAGGCTCTCCAAACACCATAGGAAGAAGGTAAAGATGGGAACTGGGAGCTACAGTGGGCATCCACCTGAAAGAGAGATTTCACTATATTCAATGCTGGATTTCTGAGAGGGCTTTTCTCTGCATCTTCTCAAGGTATTTCACCTTGGAGATGCAGACAACAAAAAGGGCTGTCAATGGCTGATTAAGGAAGCAGAATTGCCAGAAAACATAAACTTGAACACCTGCCCAGGACCAAGAGCTCGGTAAAACAGGCAACACTACAAGCAGCGGACGAGACATGTGTAATAAGAAGTAGGAAGGTGAATGAAAAACCAGTGAGCCAGCAAGAAAACCAAACACTGGAATAATGAACCAGGGAAACAAGCACAACAAAATGAAGCAATAATATGAACATTCCAAGTGGAATCCTACCATTATGCTGACAAAGTGCTCGTGACACACACCATCAACTGACACTGGCAGCAGGTGGAAAGTCAGCCGATCAGCTGCCAGCGGGATCAGCTTGTGGATCCGAACACCAAGTTCAGAGGCCCAGAAATTAAGACTGAATGTCAGGTCATTGTGGACTAACTGGACTTGGACTTGGTTGAAATGATTTCATCCCTTTGGTGGGTTTCCCAGTTGTTAGCTGTCCCACAGCAAGACTTGGCAAACCTATTGTACATCCTCAATCTCCCAGGCTTCAACACTTTATTCCCTGTTCGACCTTCTGTGTGACCACTTTTACTCAGTATGCCTAGTGTGGCGAATCAATTCTTTGATGGTGTCCTTCAACCTCAAGAATGTGTATTGGCATTTCCTGTGTCATCCTGATTTTAGAGACTGATTAGGTTTCATTTTGTGACCTCAGGCTACCACTTAAAAGTTCTGCCCTTCGTCTTGAATCTGGCTCCACTTATTTCTGGAAGGGGGGGGGGAGGTGGGGAGCTCGTTGTGGCTCTATGAAGCTATCATTTGCTAATGTAGTACCAACTACTTGGTCGCATGAGCCACGGAATTCTGTACATCTATTAGGGACCAACACCAGAACCTGGCCCCCTCCTCACAGAGGTGCAGCGAGCAGTGACATTTATTTATATGTTTTTGCCACTAATGGGAAAGGCAACCAGAAATCAACATGTCAAAACAAACCATTGCTGTCTTCAATAGAGACCACAGCCTCAAGAACTGCTGAAAGAACTCCCCCAGCTATGTAAATAAACAATTGATATCTCTTGAAACTAGCACAAGCTCTTTCACACTTCCCCCCCCCACTCATTTGGGGGAAAGGGGGAGGCAGTTCACAGTTTGGCTGGTATCTCCATCCTTAGTTTTATGCTGACGTAGGGGCACCAGGTCACCCCTCAACCTCTCTGGCTCCAGTGTTCTGTGTAGCTAAGTGGTGGTTTTTGCCTTGTTAGCAATTCTTGTACACTGCAGTGTAGTGTGAGCCAGTAATTAAAAAAAAAGTGCTTGGAGCTGCATGTGCACAGGGTTATCTTCCCTGTGTGCTCTTTACTTGCACTTGTGTTGCCAGGATTGTCTTCCCTGGAGTGTTTGTGAATCATTACCTTAGAGGTCCTCACTTGTAGTGGCCCTGGGCAAAAAGGTGTCTTGGGACTTCTGACCTTTACTCGGGTCAGGAGTGACATTTGGTTGGAGGGGTTCACTGGGTAGTCATATACTGAGGTTGGCTTTCACAGCCGTGTGTACTAGGTTGTGTCGGTTTAAACCAACATAACCTAGTACCTTAATAAATATTAAGTTCGGGGTAGCATCCCAGGAGCCTGGGTGTCCTGCTTGGTTTACCCTTTTGTCCCCTGGAAATCCTTTGTGGGGTCAGTGGTCCCATGGAAATTTCCCCCCCCCCCCTCCCTTCTCCTTCAGCCTGCTCTTGCTTTAAGTGAGTTTTAGGGATGCGTGTTATCTATGTGACAGCATTCAGTCCATCTGCCTCCTCCTTGTTGCCTGTTGAGTCGGAGACACCATCGACCAACAAAAGTCTGGTGGACCAAACTCTCACAAGTCAAGTCTGGTCTCGGGCCGGGCTTGGGGAGTAGAACTCCCAGAACCCCATCAACCAGGTATCAACCAGGACCCCGAGTCCTGTGGAGGTTTATTCTCCTTGTATGAATCTTCAATGTGGTCCTCCTGATTTGGTTGTGGCCTATTAACCAGCAACTACTTTGTGTGTTGGTTTTCTAGGGTTATATGGTCTGGGTTGTGCGCCCAGTTGTTTGCCCCAGAGCTGCCCTGTTGGTGGTTAGGGTTCCAGAATTGGAGGCATTTGGTAACTTCTAACTTGATTCCGTCCACACTTCCGTTTCCTTTCCCTACAGACATGGATTTCCCCTCTTCTGATCCACTCCCTTCCTTCTTGCTAATGGCCTTGAGATATCTAAGGGTTTCCAGGTCAGGGCAGGGTTTAGCTTAGAATGTGGCTTTTTCAGCTTTTTTTTTTTTTTTCATCCCTTCCAGTTAGGGCACTTAGGCAGGTGAGCCTGCTTGTTCCACCAAGGCTTCTGGGTCTTCCTTTAGCCAGCCCCTCTCTTTCCACAGCAGCCTTTTCCATGAACGCCACTTTTCTATTTTGAACGGTAGGCGTAGATGCCTCCCTCCACCCAAGGCCCTTGACTGCAGCTTCCAGGGATTCTTCTCTCCAAGGCTTCTTGTTCCCTCCGAATGGAATCTCCTTTTGCAGGGAGAGGGGGTTTTCACATCCTCCCCTCCCTGTGTGACTGATTTGGGTGCGGGTTTCCCCAGGGTTTGTTTCTACTTGCCATTGGGTCTGTCAGTATCATCCTTCGGATGGTTTCCTGCCTCTTGGGTCCCTTCTGCAGGAGCTCGTGAGGCACTATTTAGGTGCCTTCTGCATGATCTGGATTCTGCTTCATTGTTGGACCCTCCTTCTTTTGTGTTTGGGTCTTCCTCTCCTTCTTTTGTGTTTGGGTCTTCCTCTCCTTCTTGGATGCATTACTAGGTTCTGAATTCTTCCTGGCTGGCAAACAATCTTTTCATCTCTCTTAGTGCTTAGTGTGTCTTCCTGCACGCTTGCGTGGCGTGAGTTGTCAATCGGGTTTCAAGTGTTTCTGGAGAGCTCTCTTTCGCTCCCATCAACAACTGCTGGTTTGCTCCTGCTACTTCTTGGATCATGAGTCTCGTGTGGCTCCATGGCCAGGTTCCCCTTTTATGATGGATAAAAGATTATGACGGTGTCTCTTATGGTGGATATCCTTCAGGCTCATCTACTTTAAGTTCCATCATGTGTTTCTTGGGTCTCCTGGAGTTTCCTTTGGACTGGCTCCTACCTTGTGGCTACCTTGTGTAGCTTCTGGGGATCAACGGCCCCAAGGCCCAGTCTCTGACAAGGCCTCCTGGTTGGTTATCTGGTCAACCAGGCTGTTGGATGCTGCTGCACGCAGCCTGATGTATAAATCTCAGCCTGGTTGATACTATTTGGAAGTGTTTGTCGAGTTCTCATTTGAACACTGTGAGAGGCAGGCTAGTTATGCTCCTGACGTGTAGCGGGAGAGTGTTGAAAAGTCTTGGGGGCCCTTGATGTGATAGAGTTCTCCCTCAGTGTACCTATTGCACCTCTGCTTTTCAAAGGGGGTATTTTGCACAGCCCGCCATGCCTACTGGTCTCATGTGATGTTATTTATGTGTTCATTATTTTGAACCAGTCCCTCTAATATCTCCCACATGTAAATTATTATGCATCTCTTTCGCCTGTGCTCTAGAGAATACAGATTTAGAACTTTTCATCGGTCCCAATAATTAAGATAACTTATAGAGTGGATTCTAGTGGTAAAGGATCACTGCATGTTTTCTAGGTCAGCAATTTCTCTGGCTCTGGAAGTGTTCCGTGTCCTCGATTTTGTCTACTCGCATGAAAATTCTAGTGTCATCTGCAAATGATGATGAAGTGCTGTAGTTTGTATCCCTGTCTATGTCTGATACTAGAATGAGAAAAAGTACCAGCAAGTACGGTACCTTGGGAGACTGAGCTTTTCACAGTAGATGATCCGGATTTTACTGTGTTGACTATTACACTGCAAGTTCTGTTCGTTAGGAAGTTGAAGATCCATATTCCTACTTAGCCAGTAATTCATTTTGCATGCATTTTGTGCGCAATAACACCATGGTCACATTTTACAAAGTCTGTATATATATATATATATATTACATCTGCATTTTGCATGAAGCATGGCATCTAAGGCCATGTCATGGTGATCTAGCAACTGTGAGAGGCAGGAGCACCCTGTTCTGGATCAGTGTTGTCTGGGATTATGTAGATGTTGTGATTCCATGTGATCTGTAATCTTATTAGCACTCTTTCAAAGATTCTTATGATGTGTGAAGTTAGTGCTTTTGGTCTATAATTTTTTGCATCGGGTACACTGCATTTTCCAGGATGACAATGATGAGCTGGGCGAGGGGCCACATGAAGAGGTCTTGACCTCTGCTTCAGCGACTTTGGCTGCACCTCCCAACCAGTATACTCCTGTGCTCTGGGATGCGGTGGCCACGTTCTTTGCTGGTCTTGTGTATTGACTGTGTTGGACAGATCTTTAGATTCAGCATCGGCTCTCCTGTCTGCCTCCCAGTTTTCTCCACTCCTCTTTTGAGATTATGGCACAGTTACTCCCATTGGTGGCTGCGGCCTATCAGCCTCTTTCGGACCTTCTGTGTTCTCGTTCCTGGTGGCGGCTGGGTAGAGATGGGGCTTCACCTGCTGTGGATTGAGGTATGCCATCTGTGGGGTCATAAGCACTTCCCTCAGCCGGTCTGTCTCTGGTGAGTCGGCGTCATGTTCCCTCCAGAAAACCAGAATTGAGTGTGATGAAACGCCAATTACTGGGTGGCTCCCCGACACCCTCCCTCCCTCCCTCTAGGGAATCAAGGGGGTTGGTTATACCTACCGTAGAACTGAGGGTGACTGACTGTGGGTTGCCTCCTTCTAAATGAGCGGGGTAGGTAGGGCGAACTAGTTTGGAGATATTTCAATCATTTGTTTAGATAGTTTGGGGAATTATTTGAGCAGTTCTCGAGGCTGTGGTTTCTATTAAAGCCAGCAGTATCTGTTTTGTTGTACTGAATTTCCGGTTGCTTCCCCAGTGCCAGCATAAATAAATTAATAAATGTCAATGCTCCTTGCACCTCTGTGATGGGGGCCAGGTTCTGGATCTTGTCCCCAGTAGGCTTATAGAACTCTGCAGCTGCCACAACCTAGTACAGTAGATGGTACACTATCAGGGAGCCACTGGGGCTCATTCAAAAATTGGTGTTTCATTACATTCAATTCTGGTTTTGGGGGGTTTGGCCCAGGTGGCCATTTCTTCTTTTTGGTCCAATGGTGCTTTGTTTGCTGTCTGATCGTGGTGATGCTCCATTTCTTGCATGCCTTGTTCCATACTGTAGTTTAATTTGTCTCCGGTCATCTGCTGCTCTGCCTTGCTGCCTCCTTCCAGGCCAATAATGTGTTGTCATGTGGCTCTTTGCACCTTTTTGTCCAATTTGATTTGAGATTCAGGCTTGTGCGTTTTGGCATTCTCTCTTGCCCTGCATCGGGCTAGTGTAACATTGCGTGGTTTACCCAGTTCTGCTCTCCCCTTCTTAGGAATTGTAGTTAGTCTCATTTTTTGTGTGTTCTCCATGATGAAATAACACCAGGGAGCCACTGGGTTGCTTCCAGATATCCATCATTTAATGAAATAAAATGCTCTTTCTGGTGAACTGTGAGCTCTTGGGGTTGTCACCTGGCAGTAGAGGTAGGTAACTACCCAACTACTGTGCTCCGGGCAGGCAGGGTTGTTTATATTTTCCATGCTGTTGTCTGTTTTGTTTTGCTTTACAATTCTGATGGTTTTTCCTATTAATTTGGGCGATTTGGTATCCCCTGCTCCCAGCACCTCTTTCAGTGGACCAGGTTTTGTTCTCTGGTCTGCAGTGGGTGATACTGTGGCCGGTTTATGTGCATGAATGGCAAGGCATGGATTTCATTTATTGATGAAGATTAAGCCACCCAAAAGGTGGCACGGGCACGAATAGCCCGTAAGTGGTGGCCCTTTTGAGCCATTACCAGTACCAATAGATGATACTGGAGATTTGTGGAGGTGCGGCTGCACCCTGCGTGGCGGAAGATGTCTCCCGTGAAAAGCATGGAATGCTGGTGCAGGTTTTAAAGGTTGGACATTTTCTTATCCCATCATTCTCTTTAATATAGGATAATAATCTCCTAGGCTAAATAGATTTTGTATTGCACAACCAGATCTGAACATTTTTTAATATACTGTACACTTCTCTTAAAATTTGCATCCTGTACAATTAAATTGCATCTCTTGAGCTCAGAAATCATATTACAGTACTATTCCTATTGACACTTTACTTACTAATGAGCTTTCTCATATTAATGTTTCAGGTGTGACATCTTTCCCAGGATCGAGAAGTTCAACCCCAAGTTTGTTACGGGCAGCATTAGCCCCTCAAGTGCCACCCATTGATCCGTCAATTATAAATGATATAGAAACACATGCCAGGCATATTGCAACATCTGTTGACACACTTATTGAAAATCTCACTGGAACTCTCCATAGTGTAATTATAATTGTTTTTAGTTATTTTGCATGGAACCCACTGTAACCCCAAAAGAAAAATTAAAGGAAATGGATTAGATAGTGTGATATCACTGGACACAATAGATTAGTTATGTTGAAAACTTATTTTCAGATTTCGGCACTAACCGTAGACTGTGTTGAGACATACCGAGATGCGGTGTGTAAAACCTGCGATGCTGTTGATGCAAATATTAAGGTAAGGAGCAGTAATATGCTCTCATCTATCATCAGTGTTACATTTAATAGAGGTAATAATGGAAAGTACTCTACTGATAGTTCTAAATTTGTGTTAAGGATACATTTCTAAGGGGAGCCGCTTGTGGCTCACTGAAGCTACTATGTACTGATATGGTACCTTCTAAGAGGTCACATCAGCTGCGAAGTTCTTTAGACCTACCTGGGACCAGCGCCAGAACTTTATCCCATCAAAGAGGTGCAGGGAGCAGGGGAAATTATTTTCAAAATCCACAGTGGAAGGCAACCAAAAAATCAGCAAGTCAAAACAAACCACTGCTGGCTTCAATAGAGACTGAAGCCTCATAACCCACTAAAAAAATCCCCCATCAATGTAAACAAATAACCGAATTCTCACAGAACTAGCGTCAGCTCATTTGTCTCACCTTTCCCACTTGTTTGGGGGAGGGCAAGGTAGCCCACTGCCAGCCATTTGTTCCCATGCTCAGTTCTCTGGCTGAAGTAGTGGGTACCGGAGTGCCTCTCTTCCATGCTGGCTGAGGTATTCTGCTTGTTTAGCTAAGTGGTAGTGTTTGTTCTTTGTGGCATTTCCTGTACACTGGGGTGTAGCATGAGCCAAGTTTTGAGTGTTCTTGGAGCTGCATGTGCACAAGGTTACTTTCCCTGTGAGCTTCCTAGTGCTGGCCTTGCATTGCCAGGGTTATCTTCCTTGGAGTGTTAGGGAGTTGCTCATTTAGAGGTCCTCCTCACTTGTGGTGGCCCTCACCTATGGTGAAATCTGGTATCATGGGACATTCCTGTCTTCACTTGGGTCGGAAGCGACTTTAGCTGGTAGGGCACAATTGTAGTTAGCATGCTTCTCTCAACTCGCTGAGGCCAGCCTTACTTTAAGGTATGGCATAGCAATCCCTGTGCCTGGATGTCCTGCCTGGATTTTCTCAATTCAGGTCCTGGTAAATCCCCTGTGGGTTTGGTGGTCCTATGGATATTCCTCCTGAACCTGCTTTCGCTTCGTGTGATTTTGAGGGTTACTCCTTATTTGTGCCACATGGTGGCATTCATTCCTTCTGCCTTACCCGTACTGCCTATTGGATTGGTGATATCTATCACCCTGAGTCCTGTGGTGGTTTGCTCTTCTCTTATGGCTCTTCTTTGTGGACCTCCTGATTAGGTTAGGGTTTCCCAAGCATCAACTGCTTTGCATCTTGAGATTTCTCAGTTGCAGGGGTCTAGGTTGTGTGCCCATTTGGTTGTTCTTCATCTGCCCCAGTTGGTTTTTAGAACCCCGACACTGGATGTGTTGTTTTCTCCACGTTGGCTCCGTCCACACCTTCTCTTCCTTTCCCAATGGGTGTGGTCTGTCTGAGACTTCTTGGTTCTGCATTTGGTCAGCCTCTCCCTTGTACTCTACTTTTATGGGTCAGGATGCTGGCTCTGCCCCGGGGCCCTCAATTGTGGCTACTCAGACTTGGGGGGCTGGGGGAATCAGATTTGGGTTCTTGGGTCCCTTTTGACTCTACATGGTTCCTGGTTCCTTCCGAGGAGGGTTTGCATTCACAGGGAAAGGGGTTTTCCTAAACCTCCCTCCATGTGTGAGTATAATTTGGGTGCAGCTTTCCCTGAGGTTCGGTTCCGTGTGCCCATTGGCCTGATGGTATCATCTTTCTAGAGGTTTTCTTCCTCTGGTCCCTCCTGCAGCAGCTTGAGATATTTCTAGTTACTTGCCTCCTGTGAGACCCAGATTACACCTCATTGATGGATCATTCCACTGTTGAGTTTGGGGTCTACATCTTTGTTATGGATGCATTACAAGGTTCCATAGTGTTCCTAGCTGGTAGACTGTCCCTTATTCTCATTGGTGCTGGGGGTGGCTTTAGTTGTCCCCGCACACTGGAGTTGTGTGAGGTACCGACCATATTACAGGTATTTTCTGTGGGGAGCCTCATCTGCTCCCTGAAGCTATCCAAACGGATATGTGCTATATTATGTGTTATATTAGTTTGGGGTCATCGGTCACAGTTCTTATGCCTACTTATTCTCCCCCTCCTAGGGAGGGGGGGTGCTAATGAGCGGAAGTGCTATTCGCATGAAGGGTTGCTTGTTTGGTTTCTTTCTTGAGAGGGAAGTTATTTTAATATTTTGGGATGTATATTGCACAGGTTAACCAGACAGTAGTCTGTTTTAATTCGCCTACTTTTCTCGGTCCTTCCCCAGTCGATGGCAGTTATGATATACAGTACAGTAGTACTTTAAATGTAAAGTGCTCGGAAACCATTGCTCCCTGCACCTCTCTGAGGGGACCAGGTTCTGGCTCGTGGTTCCCGGTAGGAATTAGAACTCCTTTGACTAAGGAACCCAAACATATCATCAGTTTGGGGTCAAACTGTATCATCAACATGGCACATATCAGTTCGGATAGCTTCAGGAAGCCTCCGGGGCTCGCCCAGAAAATGGCGTTTCATTATATTCAACGCAGATTTTTTTGGGCCTGCCTTTTGCATCTCATAGTGATTGCCTGTTAGCCCCCTGTTCATTCCTGGGACATAGGTCAAAGCATACCCAGGTTTTCCTGTTATCGGGAAGTTGATTGGGAAAGCACCCTGCCATTGAGGTATGTACATTGCACATAAGAGAGTATTAATCAATAAGAGTCCCCCCTCCACCCTCACCCCCTTCACCCCCTTCACCCCACCCCCTTCCCTCCCCCTCCCCCTCACCCCCTTACCCCCCCCTCCCCCTCACCCCCCCCCCCCCCCCCCTCCCCCTCACCCCCTTACCCCTCTCACCCCCCACTCCCCCCCCCTCCACCCCTTACCCCCCCTCCCCTCCCCCCCCCCCCCCCCCCCCCCCCCCTCCCCCCTCTGTCTCTCTCTCACACTCTCACTGACTGACCTGACCTGACTTAGAGATAAAGACAGGCTATTTAACACAAGGGGCACACACACGAGGGGACACAGGTGGAAACCGAGTGCCGAAATGAGCCACAGAGATATTACAAAGAACATTTTTAGTGTCAGAGTGGTTGACAAATGGAATGCATTAGGAAGCGATGTGGTGGTGGCTAACTCCATGCACAGTTTCAAGTGTAGATATGATAGAGCCCAGTAGGCTCAGGAACCTGTACACCTGTTGATTGACAGTTGAGAGGTGGGACCAAAGAGCCAGAGCTCAACCCCCGCAAGCACAACTAGGCGAGTACACACAAAAACGAAGGCAAGAAAAAGAAGGGTGGCCAGAATGCCTATTTTTGGATTGTCAGAAAGCCTTTGATACAGTACCTTACAAGAGGCTAGTGAAAAAGCTGGAGATGCAGGCTGGAGTGAAAGGGAAGGTACTCCATTGGATAAAGACATACCTAAGCAACAGGAGACAACGAGTCAGTGTGAGGGGTGAGGTCTCAGATTGGCGAGACGTTACAAGTGGAGTCCCACAGGGGTCAGTCCTTGGACCTATACTGTTTCTGATACTCTATATGTAAATGATCTCCCAGAGGGTATGGAATCGTTTCTCTCAATGTTTGCCGATGATGCAAAAATTATGAGGAGGATTGAAACAGGATGATAGTAGGAGGCTACAAGATGACCTAGACAGACTGAGTGAATGGTCCAACAAATGGCTGTTGAAGTTCAACCCGAGTAAATGCAAAGTAATGAAACTAGGCAGTGGAAACAGGAGGCCAGACACAGGATACAGAATAGGAGATGAAGTACTTAATGAAACGGACAGAGAGAAAGATCTAGGAGTCGATATCGCACCAAACCTGTCTCCTGAAGCCCACATAAAAAGAATAACGTCTGCGGCATATGCGAGGCTGGCTAACATCAGAACAGCGTTCAGGAACCTGTGTAAGGAATCATTCAGAATCTTGTGCACCACATATGTAAGACCAATCCTGGAGTATGCGGCCCCAGCATGGAGCCCGTACCTTGTCAAGCACAAGACGAAGCTGGAAAAAGTCCAAAGGTATGCCACTAGACTAGTCCCAGAACTAAGAGACATGAGTTACGAGGAAAAGCTACGGGAAATGCACCTTACGACACTGGAAGACAGAAGAGTAAGGGGAGACATGATCACAACCTACAAAATCCTCGGAGGAATCGACCGGGTAAACAAGGATAAACTATTCAACACTGGTAGGACGCGAACAAGGGGACACATGTGGAAACAGAGTACCCACATGAGCCACAGAGACGTTAGAAGGAACTTTTTCAGTGTCTGAGTAGTTAGTAAATGGAATGCACTAGGAAGTGATGTGGTGGAGGCTGACTCCATACACAGTTTCAAATGTAGATATGATAGAGCCCAGTAGGCTCGGGAACCTGTACACCAGTTGATTGACAGTTGAGAGGCGGGACCAAAGAGCCAAAGCTCAACCCCCGCAAGCACAAATAGGTGAGTACACACACACACATACATACTTACATACATACATACATACATATATACATACATACATGAATCCTTAATGTATTAAATTCTTTTGTTTCAGTCCATGTATCAGCTGATGGCTAAAACAGAAGAACTAAGCAAGTCAATGAAACCTATTTACAAGCTACAAGATCAAATGTATCCTTTGTATACTCATTATTGCTTACCATACTGATTTTCACACTGAATATTTCCTTATTAACCACTGCACTGTGTCAAACAACAAATGTCGTTTTGAGAGTTGTGCAATTTTTTTAATTGGGCTATATTTTAATGTTTTAATCAGTCTTTGTGTTTTGAAATGAAAATAGTTGAGTTTTGAAACATTTTGACATTTACTTTACCTGAACATTTATAAAACAACAAAAATGTCCTTAACACTATTGCTTTCTTCTGACTCTTAAAAAGTCCAGAATTTTTCTCCCTATGTCTCAGGGTGGACTCGTGCTTGTGTCCATCATTTTAAAATATTTGTTAAAAATTTAAATTTTATCTGATCAATCTGGAAGTGGTTTTAAAATGAGTACCTTTAGATTGCGCACAATATGATATAATAATGACGATGTTGCCTGTCAATTGAGGTCAGAACTCTTGAAAGATTATAAATACTTTTGTAGTCCAAATTTTAAAATATTTGTTAAAATTCCATTTATTGTGATATTATTATGGGACTAGTTTTAAAATATGCACCTTTAGATTGCGAACAATTTGATACCAAAATGAAAGAGGTAACATGAAAATTTATGTCAGAACACTGAAAAGATGTAAATAATTTTGTGGTGATGAGCGTCCAAAATGTAAAATATTTGTTAAAATTCTATTTATTGTTCTATTAATGGGACATATAATGGGACTAGTTTTAAAATACGCGCCTTTATATGGTGAACAATTTGATACCTAAATGAAAGATGTAACACGAAAATTGATGTTATCAAACTGAACGAGTATATACATTAGGCTGCGGCGTGCCAATTGGTGCTCGTTCATGGGTTGGCCGACTTTAGACTTTGCTGTGGGAAGTCATGCCGGGCTCTTGGACCTTGTATGCATATACCCCTGTAGGGATTTCAATTGCGAACATATTGATACCAAAACGAACGACGTAGCACAAGAATTAAGGTGAGAAAATTGAAACGAGTATACACATTTTACTGATATCGTGCGCTCACGGGTAACGTTGCCGACTTTACACTTTGCTGTGGGGAGTCACGCCAGGCTTTTAGACCTTATGTGCATATACACCTGTAGGGAATTCTATTACGAACACAATGATAGCCAAACGAACGACGTACCATGAGAATTAAGATGAGAAAACTGAAATGAGTATACACATTTCGGTGTCGCCGCACGCTCACCTACACTGCCGGAAGCATACCGTACATATCTGAGGAGCGCACGCTCCGCATGCGATAGTGTTAACAATTGCACTGTGAAGTTTTTGCCACAAACAGGTGCACAGTGCAGGGGTTAATGAATTGGACGAAATAAAAATAATACCTGTACAATTTTGACTACTGTTTTGATACGATTTAATATGGAAGTTGGCAGCCAGGTTATAGATAATGGTTATCAATTATTTCTTATTTTAATACTTTTCTATACAACTACTTTCCTTAACTTACATTTCAGTAAGGAAGTGAGGCGACTTCTCGATATGTTCGAAAATATTATCCATTCCAGTGGATCATGAAATTCTAAGTACAGTACAGCGAATAAATTACTTAAACAGAATTCAGCAAACTAATTTGCCAGTGATCTCTCTGTGTGATAAAAAATTATGCACTTAAGTAGAGTAATGACAAAATATACAGCACTGTATATTTAATACTAAGAAATTTCAGTGAGGCACAAAAGTGTCTTGTGAATGGAATATAAATTTAGGTAAAAGTGATACATCTAATAATGTTATATCACTGATTGATCAGGTGATTAAATTATATCACTGATACATCAGATGATACTGTAATGCAAGTTGTGATTCTGCCATATTATTTTAAGTTAAATGTGCTAATTTCTTCAGTTGTTTACAATAAGTAAAGGTTAATGCACATTCAGTTTATTATGAGAGTGTACACCTTTATTATTATGCTCAGATCAACCTCTAATATTACAATAAATATATATAATGGAGATATTAATTAAATTTTCTCTTGAGTAAGAGTGCTTTGATTATATTTATCAAGTATTGATCTCATACAAACTCTAAAGATATATTTAAAGGGAAGATGCTATGCATTGTAATAAACTAGCATTGACTGTAATGAAATGCCAATTTCTGGGGGAGCTCCAGTGGCTCCCTGAAGCTACTATCACTGATAGTGTGCCATCTCCCAGTAGTACAATCGAGTTTGTTAGCGACTCAGTCGAGAATTCAGGGTTTGAATCCAGGTCAGCACAGAAATGGTTGGGCTTGTTTCCTTTCACCTCATGCAGTAAACCTAGCTCATGCTATGTCACTCATTCATGTCAACCTAGCAGTAAATAGGTACCCAGGAGTCGGCTTGTTGTGAGGTTGCATCCTGGCCGGGATCAGTAATTTGACCCTGGAGCGGGAAGATGGGGGGGGGGGGGCTCGGTATAAGCTTAACATGTAATGTCTGTATAACCTGTTTTCTTGTCCGGTGACACAATGAATTATTATGAATTATCTACTGGGTTGCATCAGCTGCAGAGTTCTATTTGGCCTAACAGGTCCAAAAGCCAGAACCTGGCCTCCTCACAGAGGCAAAGAGAGCAGTGGCATATATTTATTTATGGAACTTTATTATATATTATTTATGGATTACATGGAGCAGCCTGTGGGCTGCTCTGTGTTATCATAACTTGGATAACTGTGTTATCATAACTTATCATAACTTTGATGCGGCTGCAAGCAGCCGCATCAAACAGCCTAGTGGCATAAATATATAAATAAATGCCACTACTCCCTTCTCCTCTGTGAAAGGACCAGGTTCTGGCTCTTAGTTCCAGGTAGGCCAAATAGAACTCTGTGGCGGATGCAACCCAGTAGATGGTATAATATCAGTGATACTAGCTGTATTAATAATTAATAATCTGTAATAAACTATAGTACAGTGTATATTTTTATAATAAATGTGAAATTTATTATCTGGTCTGAATTTAAGGTGTATAATCATTCAAATTATCTTCTGTAATATGAAAATCTCATGTGTTAATATTTATTAAATGCCAATGAATAAGTGTATACCATGGAACAAATGTGAAACCACATGCCTGCATCATGGAAATATCCAAGAGTGCCTTAATATATCATTGCATTTCACTACTGCACGAACTCTAAGGATGGTATAAGGTGCTGAAAAGTTCCACACCAAAGACTCAGGCATTTGGATTTAAATTTGTATTAAAGTATATACACATTCCTTGACAGGTAAATTACTTATATATTACTTCATTACATAAGATAACTGATAGAAGGTGATCCTCCAATAATTACAGCAACCACAAGGCTGATGTTCCAGCAAGAACACAAATGAATGTTGCAAGAGCAATGTGTATCGAGCTCGCACATGTGTACATCATTATTTTCTTGGGAGCTCTTAAGAAAGGGATTGCTCTGGCATAATAGTCATACTCATGGAAGAGACAACTAGCAGTGTTGTGTGTCACATATATTGGAACAGTAGCTACAAGCTCTTGAGTTACAGATGTCTGTCTCTCTTATACAGTCCCCCCTTCTTTTCCAGTCTGTAAATGGGATTAAGACTTTAATCAAGGCTTAATTTTATATGCTATTTGCTTTCTTTGCTTAGCTACTTAAATAATATAGTTGCCATATGTGCAAATTTTCTAGGTCATGTCTTGGATTCAAGTGTCAAAATTTGCATCTGGGAAGAATTTAAAAAATTCTCTAAGAGTCCAGAATTTCAGGTTCCATCACTTAAGACATTACTTCTATCTATCATTATATGTATATATATATATATATATATATATATATATATATATATATATATATATATATATATATATATATATATATATATATATATATATATATATATATATATATATATATATATATATATATATATATATATATATATATATATATATATATATATATATATATATATATATATATATATATATATATATATATATATATATATATATATATATATATATATATATATATATATATATATATATATATATATATATATATATATATATATATATATATATATATATATATATATATATATATATATATATATATATGTCGTACCTAGTAGCCAGAACTCACTTCTCAGCCTACTATTCAAGGCCAGATTTGCCTAATAAGCCAAGTTTTCCTGAATTAATATATTTACTATAATTTTTTTCTTATGAAATGATAAAGCAACCCTTTTCTCTATGTATGAGGTCAATTTTTTTTATTGGAGTTAAAATTAACGTAGATATATGACCGAACCTAACCAACCCTACCTAACCTAACCTAACCTATATTTATAGGTAAGTTTAGGTTAGGTAGCCAAAAAAGCTAGGTTAGGTTAGGTTAGGTAGGTTAGGTAGACGAAAAAACATTAATTCATGAAAACTTGGCTTATTAGGCAAATCGGGCCTTGAATAGTAGGCTGAGAAGTGCGTTCTGGCTATTAGGTACGACATATATATATATATATATATATATATATATATATATATATATATATATATATATATATATATATAATAAATAATGTGTGTGTGTCATACCTAGTAGCCAGAATGCACTTCTCGGCCTACTATGCAAGGCCCGATTTGCTTAATAGGCCGAGTGATTTTCTTTATTTTCAATAAACTGTTAACAATTGCTTTTTTTTTATTCTTATTATATTATATCAAGAGCATAAATTGTTGACTTAGTTATGTTTAGGTTAGGTTTAGATAGGGTAGGGTTGGTTAGGTTCGGTCATATATTATGTTAGTTTTAAGTCAAATTAAAAAAAATGAACCCATACATAATGAAATGGATAGATTTATCATTTCATAAGATAAAATAAGAAAAAATATATATTCATGAAAACTTGGCTTATTAGGGAAATCGAGCCTTGCATAGTAGGCCAAATAGTGCATTCTGGCTACTAGGTACAACGTTTTTCATAATTAATGGTGTTGTAGCCATATAATAAATGGCAATTGCATACAATTATTGACATTTGTTATTCTTAATTTGCATGTAAGAGAGTTTTGCATTTTTTCAGCAATAATCTAGTCACTTTCGCAATATTATTTACGTGTATTGACGACAACTACCGGTGGTAATATGGTTGCCCAGCCAGCCAGTCTTAGTCCAGTGTCGAACCAGCTCTGACACTTGACGTTGTTTGCTTGTGTGCACTTTGCTATGTGCTATTTGTAATTTGTTGAAGCTTTCCAAAACACAAAAGTCCTTGACAAAATGTCCAAATGTACATGTAAAATCACTGCCAAGATCTATAACAAACTTCTGTGCTTTAAGAGAGGCAGAAATGAATGGGAAGCAGAGCATTGGGTGTGCATACCAGGAACATAATTCTCTGTGGCATATAGAGCTATTGGTGATTTACACACACGTGTACTCTGAAAAACACAAGAGAGCTGTGTGAAGAGAGAGCTCATCATTGAAAGTTCAGTTTAGTTCATTTATTATGCACCCCATACCCATCTTGTGGGTGGTAGTGGAAAGGGTTACAGAGGTACATAATGGGCTCAGTGAAAATGACAGATTATTTTGTCACAACAGGAAGTAAAACAGAAGGCACTGTCACTGCTGCAGAAGGTACTGACGCATTTCACACTTAAACATCACAATACTGTAGTTTTCTGTCCATGGATTGTTCATCTGTTTAGCTGAAAAATACTTTCTCTGATTCTGAGGTGGCAAAGAGGTGTTCTAGTGCTCTAACAAAGACAAGCAATTATTATATCTGTGCTTGCACCGCATTCTGTTGATGTTTCCTTGAAAGGTCTTGAAAATGAGATTGCATACTGTGGAATTTCTACAGATAGAAGTAAATAATTTAAACAACTGTGTCCATCATGGAGCAGAAAGAATAATTATTGATATTGAAAATATAATCAATAAAATTTATCAGTATTTTCATATCTACATAGAATTGAGCAGCTGAAGGAGTACTGTGAGTCTGCCGAGTAGAGTACCGAAGGCTCCTCTCTCATAGTAAGACTCGCTGGCCATCACTATTTCCTGGCATCACAAGGCTGACACAGATGTTTCCTGCTCTTAAGTCCGTCTATTCTGACTGTACAGTACAATTTCCGAGATGCATCTTGCAGTGACTTCTCCTTTTTCAAGTCCAATAAGGCATTAGGAAGTACAGTACAATTTCCGAGATGCATCTTGCAGTGACTTCTCCTTTTTCAAGTCCGATAAGGCATTGGGAAAAAATCAGATCATCAAGAAAAATATGCATGGGCACATAAAGTCATAGACAGAGTGGGAGAAGAGGATTGTAACAAGAAGTTAAAGATGACCAGCCTTATGTAAAGGTGATTTTGTTGTTGTTGTTCTCAAAATAATTCTGTACAGTACTGTCCTTGTTTTCCATTATAATGGTAATTATATTTAAAAAAATTAAAGCTTGAGGTACAGTGCAACAATATATTATAACCCCAAAGGGTCAAAGTGTGTGTGTGTTGGGCAGGGGCCCCGGAGGGTCATGGTGAATGTTAGTGGATGTGTCCTGGATTCTGACTGTTCAGATATGACAACCTTAATTTAATTACTATGTCCCAGACTTAGCCAAGTTTGCCCATTTACATCATAACACTAACATCTGTTTTGTTAAACATCATATACAGTACCATGTGAGTTGTTAGATTTTTGTCATTTCCAAACTTATAAAATTGTATAAATTTTATAAATTTATAAAATTTATACTTAACAGCCCCATACTGTACTTATAAAATTTAATTTATCATTTACATTGTTTTTATAATATTGTTAAACACTGTTGACCAGACCACACACTAGAAAGTGAAGGGATGACAACGTTTCGGTCCGTCCTGGACCATTCTCAAGTCGATTGTGTTTAACAATCACCATTCACAATCGACTTGAGAATGGTCCAGGATGGACCGAAACGTCGTTGTCCCATCACTTTCTAGTGTGTGGTTTGGTCAACATACTTCAGCCATGTTATTGTGACTCCTCGTCTGCACTGTTAAACATTTTTATTACTGTAGCATAATTGTCTGACATTAATCAATCTAGTCACTATTCAAGTTTAGATTTTGTATTTAACATAACATATCAATATACTGAGTTTTATTTTACCTGTTCAATGTATGTACAGTATTTTGTTTATCTTTGTTTTGTTTAAGTTCACCAAAATACTCACTTGCTTTAACTCTAACTTATCTTCTCATTGAAGTACTGAACGGTATTCTTCTCTGTGTGATTTTCTCTTCACATCTATTTCTTGTTCCACAAAATATAGTTTCATTATTATGTTGATTTCTTATCCCTTATTAGCTGCAAGTGCTGCTAACTGGAATTATTAGTGTTATTATTACTACTATCTTGATTCCAATCACGAACATATATTTCTAGCGATGCGGCACTGGGGGTTTACACTACCGAGGAAGATCCCCTCCCTGTTCAGCTCGTTGCTGCCGTGGAGGGGCTTGGTGGGCGGCTGCCGGAGTGTGATGCTCCTTAGGGCTGTCCCCTGTTCTTTTGTAGCCTTGTGCTCCTGCTGCTGTCCTCACGAATTTTGCTGGACGCCTTTTCCTTTTCCTTCTGTTTCGTTTTTCTCCCCCCTCTTCTCCTATCTGCTTGTCGTTTCCTGCTGACCTTTTGCTTGTTTTGGTTATTCCTTTGGACTACTTCTATTTTGACGCCCGGGTGCTTGAGGAGGCATACTCTTGCACCCGTAGAACTGTAGTACCCAACGTCGCGAGCGAGAGGAACCTTTTATTGTCAATCCTCCTTTCGTCATTGAACCCGCTCTCGACGGACTCACGGTTCTTAAGGTGGCGTATACTCACGACGCACCGCTGGGGGGCCCCCAGCAAAATCGGCGATAGCTGGGTGTCCTGCCTCTAATTGTGGCTCCATGGTGGGTGTGGGGACACATTCGTGAATGAAAGTTTTTCCTC